TTACCAGTTTTGATCTGCAAGCTAGATGACTCAGTACTTGGCGATTGCTTTTTATTAAGTGCTTACTACGATGATGTGCATTCACGTTGTAAAGAATATATCGCGACTGAACCAATGAATATATGCAATTTTTGGAAACTGGTCAGAATTTTAATTGACAAGCAGTAGCCTTATCTGTCACTGCAATTCCTGCTTTGCATCGTTTAATGATAGGCTCATCTTTATTTACAGACGGTGTGTGCTGCTGCGTAGACTTCTTTTTTCATTATTTTAATGACCAGTGATTCCTTCAAGATAAGATTTCACGGAGTGCTGCATAGACCTCTTACAGTTAGCAGACGAGTTTACAAATGAACCTTTCCAAAAGTTGTCTATTTTATAGCATATGGTCCTTTGAATGAGTTTTAAGCCGAACGGGACATTTTGCTCCAACTTAAGTTTTATAAATAACCTGCACCGTTTTTTCTGTATATACTCAATTTGTATTGAAAATAAATGGTTGAAGAATTCTGGACTATTGTTTAATCCAAGAAAAGATATGCAATGATCATGTTTCTCATAACAATAATTACCCGTTGTCATTGGAAGTAGGTCCATAAAGAGAGTGCAGTTATGTCAAATGGTCAAATTGCATGGAAAAATCCAACACAACGTTAAGTACTGGAGCGCTAACCGTGAAACAGTGGCAGTTTAGCTGGGTCAATCGTTATGACGCCTCTTCCCGTCTTATCATTTTGCTGCAATTACAGTTTTGTATGTCTGTTTTCCAGATTTTCTCTTGTCGAATTACCTTGCTAAACTGCTAAGGGATAACATGATTCTCTACGATTATGTGTTTCGCTATGTGGAAGCATTCTCGCCTGTTGTGTTTATGCAGGCATTGTCTTCCGTTTCAGAGTTTTTGTCCACTTTCTCCAATATTGGTGTCTGTAGGCATCCGCATAAATATAATTCAGTGATGCCCTTCTTCCGGGTTATCTTGAGAGGAAGGATCCTGTCCGATACAAAAAACTCCTACTCTTCCATGGGGAATGGTATATTCTCTCAACACCATATTTGTTCCTGAATCCATATTTTTATACCGAGACTACTTTGGTAAGCTTCGGTAGTGCGACTCGTGTAGAGTCTAATCTCACGAATCTGCATTTTCTGAAGAAGATAATTTAGGCGTTTCCTTCTTATGCAGTTGCTGCTGACATGCATCAGTTGCATGACCGTTAACTATATATTTCCTTCATATTTCTGTTTGATAATCGTCCCTAGAATAAGTGAGATCATATGGTCCGTGTAGTTCACTGGTTGTTTTTTTCTGACAGG